GCCAATATAAGAGACCGCACCCTCATTTTCGGGACACACTCGCCACCGAACACTGAAGCCAGCGGAAGCTCTGCCCGTTTGACTAGCCAAAATAATTAATCATTTTAACTCTGATAGTTGATTAAGTTAATGTTGTATTTTTAAATCATTTTAGTGTTAATTACATTTATTCAATTCTGTTAGTTTTCTTATTAATTCTAAAAGTACTGTAGTAGTGTATAAGAGATTGTTTTTTTAATTTTCCCTGCTTCTGATCCTTAAGATCAGAAGTGGGATAGTGAAACTCCCACGTCCTTGTTTGTACATCCTGATACGATGTGTTTCCATTGTTATTTCTTTAATTGGCTAGTCATACGATCAGTTTTCGGTGTTTCGTATAATATACGTAAGTAAGACGTGATGTGACGGTGTGATCAAGTTTTATAATGTCAATTTTGGTGAGTACGTTCCAATTGTTTTCTTCTCCGCTTTAAAATAACAAATAGAAGTTGTATTTGTTAGCTTTTTGTGTAAATTTTAGAATGGCTCAATTTTAATATTTTGTCGTGTCTACCCTATTGATCAATTATTTACCGTAACTTGAATGCCTGCTTGGAATTACGTCTAATTTTAAATACTTGCTAAAAAAAAAGAAAACATGCCTAATAAGAGGCGGCAGAGTAGGAGTCGATCGCGAAATCGCAGATCGCATTCTAGCCAACATGATTCACGCTACAGACGACGTAGCCCTTCTAGCAATATTTTAACCGAAACAATGCAAAAAAATTTGAATAGATTGGTGTCATTAGAGGAACAACAGGTAGTGTCTTCATCTCAACGAAAGGAGTCTAGTGGCCGCGCTGCAGTGGAAGTAGCCAAGTCCGCGATGCCTGTGGCAACCATCAGCGCCGAGCCCGTTCCTGCCGTTGAGCCTGCCGTGTCGATGCCGTCGCCGTCGCAGATGGGCGAAGCTGTGACTGCGAGCTCGCTTCAAGGGCGCGCTTCAGGCTTCAACGACTCCGTCCTCACCGGAGAGTCCCGCGAGCGCTACGTCAGTCCAGGCCAGCGCCGCCGATCGCATCATCGATGCGATACGATCCATAAATATACCGGTGAGATCTAACCAGTCTTATTATATTTCTAATTTTGATCCAAGTGTTAATGACATAGAGACATGGTGGGAGGAAGTAGACCGTGCTAGGTCTTCTAATAATTGGAGTGATCACGAATGTCTCTCGTATTGGCAATTGTTTACAAGGAGATGCTAAAACGTGGCTCAGTGAATGGGTCATTCGTCAGAACTCCAACTGCGGTCATTCGTTGACCGCAGTTGGAGTAATTTTAAAAACGAATTTAAGCCTTTGTCTTTATAAGAATTTTTTTTATAATATTATTATATTTTAAATCTAACCTTATTTGATAAGAATATTGTAGTTTCAGTGTGAATTGTGGGATGAAGTGTATTATAATTTTGGGGGTTAGAAAGCTGATGTTTTCTTCTGAGAAGATTTCCAAGAACCATGTGGTAATTACATTGTGTTTTTTAATACAATAGTACTATACTACAAACTTCAACAACAACACCACCGACGCTTTGAGCGCCGAGACGCCAGTGAGCGACGGGCCGCGTCCGCGAAATAATACCAGTGCCACTCATCCTGATGAAGGCCCCCGATGGGCTCGAAACTAGTCGGTGCCACCACCGGACGTATATACGTGAGTGTTTAGCCGTGTTTATATATCAGTTTAATAGTACTATATTTTGTATTTTTTGTTGTTTTGACTATTATTCTATCTCACTACATATCAAATAATGTATCAATGACTACACTTGATATTTTATGTAAGTAAATAAATCTTATTCCATATTTACGTTAAAATTAAGTTATAATTAATTACAAAGGAAGAATGTTGTATGAACGACTTATCAATTTTTAATACTTTCTGTTTTTAGGTGTGAAACAAGTACAAAAGTAGTAGAAAACATAATCTATGGATTCACAGAAATAGAATTTGAATAAAGATATAATTTTACATTCTATTCATATTTAAAAGAACTAAATGTTGAACTAGAACTTATGACCTTTTGCTGATTGCTAAAAAATAAATTTACAACAAAAATTGATGAAAATAACATAAAAGTAAGTACAAGACATATGCCAAATTCTACATGGTAAGTGGTAAATATTAAGTAAGTAAGCACATATTTCCAGCAATTACTTGAACAATTTTAACCTTTTAAATTGGCTTGATATTTAGTATAAAATGGTTTGCTCAAAACATGAAAAAAATTTAACAATGAAAATTAACTTAAACATTATTTAGGTTGTGTGTAGAATCTCTATTATTGTTTCAAATATTGTAGATCAACCTGTAAATTGGTCATGTCATGACAAGTTTTTCAAACTAATTTGATTTATGATTCCATCATTGCAGAGAATTGCAAAGAAGTTTTGTAAGTAAATGGGGAGAGATCCATATTATCAAAGAAAACCAGTTTTTTTAATAAGGTATGTAATTAGGTGAAAAGCAATAATTAAATTATGTTGTACACTTGAATCAATTAATTACAATTTCATTCTGTTGCAGATGAATAAATGCACCTCTTCAAGGTCTACAGAATTATTAAATGAAGGAATCTGCTTCAGAATTACTGACTGCATGTCGCTGCAACATCTGTGCTACAAAGTTTGATTGTTTGATAATTGTAATTCTAAACTAAATTTGAAAACTAACTATTATATGGAGTAGTTTAACAGCAAATCTAAAAAAGAGTCACCATGTTGCAGGAAATGCTAGTAACTATATTAATGTCAATATTGATATATAGATGTGTAACCTATAGATTTAGTGTTTTGTATTAGTTTGATGTTAATAATATGACAATTTTTAGAAATATGTATTATTAGACTTTAATATAAAATATACACTAGCATAATAAGATTTTCTCGAAATTGGGAAATGCAGTGTATAGAAAATAAAAATATACTAAAACATAGGGAATTAAGTATCAAGTACAAAAGACAAAAAAAATACCATTTAGTGAAAAATATGAAACAAAATTAATTTATTAAATTTGGATTTTACAAATATCACAACTTATAATATATCTTAAACTTTTTTGAACTAAGTAATAAAAAATAAACAGAGATTGTATACAATTTACTTACAAGTAATTTAAATTTCAACACAGGTACTTTACCCCAAAATGATGCCTCCTAAGCTCATTATTTTTCCTTGTTAAGGAATCTATAGGTTACACATCTATGGAGAATAGTAATAACAAAATAGTTAATATGCGGAATCTTTAGGTGCATGATAATTTTATGAATTTATTTGAGAAGTAAAACTTAAATATTGTATTCTATTTTTACAATACATAATATTTAACAGCAAGCAATATATAATAGCAGCAGGAAAAGCTTCTGGTGGCGGAAAGAAAAATCATGCGCAACATCCTGGGCCCAACACTAAGAGAAGACGTCAGCTGGAGAACCCGCTACAACGCGGAAATTGAGACGCTGGTGGGTGAGCCGAATATCATCGGAGAAGCAAAAGCTCAAAGACTCCGATGGCTGGGCCACCACATGAGGATGGGGGAAGATCAAAAGGCCAAAGCAGCATACCTCGGGACCCCGATTGGCCGCCGACCCATCGGTCGGCCCAGGTACCGCTGGCGAGACGCCGTAGAGCTGGATCTGCGGGAGCTACAAGCGATGGACTGGCAGGAGAAGGCGCAAGACAGGCGACTTTGGCGATCTCTTGTGTCGGAGGCCAAGACCCACTTTGGGTCGATGCGCCAGCGGAGTAAGTGAGTAAGTAAGTATAATATTTAACATGACTTTTACATTTGCAATGTTTTGATAGGAAAAGTTTGGATTAGGGGACTATTTGAAGCGTCGGCAGTGCAGTTGGCGCTTGACCGGATCATATTTTACATATCCAGGTACGATCTCCGCTATATAGTAATGCGTTCTTCGAATTTCATGATAACATCCATCCGACATTCTTACTGTAATTACAAATCGCATACAACTGCATAGAAATTCAAAGATATGTGTGAAGTCAACCAACCCTCACTGGCTCTGCGTTGTTGAATAAAACCTAGTCGCATTCTTGAGGGTAGGCTCCGAGCTCCTCAGTGGAATATAGTGTGTCCGTATAGTGAGCTTGTTGATGACGATTTGTTTTGCTTCAATGCATACTGTCTTGTTAGCAATTTTCTAAATATTTTACCAACAGATAGGAGCTAATCTCTTTCCAGTGCTATTCTATTTCTCTCGATGAGAGTGGCACTACTACTCCAGTTCTATCAGAAAATATGAGCAATAAAATAAACAAACTGGAACAAATAAGCATTTATTATAGTTGGGGTATTTTGTTGGTGAACTAAACAATAATGGTATTATTACGAAAGCAATGAGCATTATGTTGCGTTTTTAAAATATGTTCACTTTAGTCAGAAGATTAAATTAAAGTTGCAATTAACGAAATTGTTTTATTTTTCCAAATTGTTTTCCCTCAAATAATACTTTCAAACGTCAAAAAGGAAACTGACAGATAGATTTTTTTAGGTTGGTAGCAACGTAGACTTGTTCATAATATTGCTAGCATTGAAAATGTCAATTTTTATTCTCCGTTTGTGTATCTAATTAGTCAAGAGTCCCGTCACTTATTTTTGTTACTCTTTGATGTTAACTTTTGGCTAAAATTAAATGACTTAAAAGTATTAAATCATTGAATTCTAATGTAATTAAAATAATATTAGATGCTATTCAATTTAACGATTTTGTAGGGAAATCATCAACAAAAACATCAATGAATATTCAAAATTTATAAATGTATTTCAGAAACTTTTATAAAAAAAAACAATGCATTTTACTTGTGAGACACCAGACAAATGAGGGAAACACAATTTTATCTCATTTTATTTTTTTATTACCAAATTAATTGTTTAAAGAAAAAAAGGCATGGTATCATTACGAGACCATAGAGCATGTTTTAATTACGACAACGAGTATTGGATAGTAGAGCAGCCGCGCTTCTTTGGGAGTGGTAATGCGCCGAACCAATCTACAACGTTCTTGTGATCATTGACACCGGCCATTGGTCTATCCTTTGTCAACCAATCATCGAAAAACCAGTGAGGATATCCAATGTAAGTTCACAATTTTCATTGAATATTACCCGGTGATGATTGGGCTCTTAAGCTTTCATAATTTTGGCAAAACTTTTCCAATATTTTCCAAAGTTTTTTATTTTTTTGCATGGCATTTATGAAAATTCTGTAGTTGAAAGCAGCCATTTTGATTGCGTTCTCTGCGTTGCGTTGGCCTCGCACGCGTGACGTAGTAGCTTTTATGATAAAATTATGATTGTTTTGGGTCCAAGAGACAATTCATGAAATATATATATATTTTGTAAAACCTATGTTATTTTTATAAAAAAAACGTTTGCCTTTTCCTAGTATAACCTAACTTGTTTTTCACACAGCGCTATTATTTCGTTGTCAGCCTGCGCTTGTAAAGAAAGAAATCATTTTACATATCAACTTGTACAATAACATAATTATCTAAGTATTGGGAGTTACTTTCAAGTAAAATTACACTTTGTTGCGCTGTCAAGTGTCAAAACAGAATCGGACTAGTAACTAAGTAATTTCGGTATTAGTAAAATTCCTAGGCCTAGTAGGCAATGATCATGTATACTTGTTAGGTACTTTCTAGGAGCTATTCAGCTTCATAGTTTCCGTTTATAAGGTAGTTAAGCTCTAAAATAATAACATTTCATACAAATATAAAAAAGGCTAAAAAGTCAATCTCCTGGCTGATACTTATTTAATATGAAAACATTGTAATTTGTCAAAATCTTATAATATCTGTAATCTTAAGCATAAAATTTATATTAAAAAAGCAACTGCTTAGCTTTGTGCTAAAGTAGAAATTTTATACAACTATACTTTGACTATTCAGTGAAAGTCAATTCCAATCCAAGTAAGAAAAAAAAAGTCTAAAACAGAACTTGCGTAGATCTATAGAGAATTGGAGGAACCGCAGGCAGAAATGCATCTGCGGTCTATGGACGTCGGTTCAATTAACAATAAGCGATCCGCTGCTCCTAATTAAAAAAAAATAACAATATATGGAACTCATTATATTTTCAGTATAAGAGTATGGAGCATGCTCAGATCCAGAGCTCTGAGGGTCCGCAGATGGTGACCCTCAACGGGCAGCAGATGCAGGTGCTGCAGATGAGCAACTCTCCGCACATGGTGCAGGGCCCCAATGGGCAGCAGATCGTCGTGCACACCATACAACCAAACGCACAGGCTATACAGGTCAATAAATACTTTACAGATCACTGGCTGTCGCCCGCGACTCAGTAGGGCCTGAATTAAAAAAAAAGTTAATTAGTAGTCTATGCACTATGTTCTACGTCTATGCAAAATTTCAGCGAGATTCATGCAGCCTTTTTGGTGATAAAACATAACAAACATCCATCCATTCGCATTGATAATATTGATAAGAAAGATAGTAAAATGTTAAGTTCCTATGCTGTATTGTTAAGATTTTGTTAAAAAAAATTATAATTTGCATTATTCCTACATGCGTTCAGATTGGAGCCCCTCAGATCCAGGTGGTAGTATCATTTTCATGTGTCTTTTTTATAATTTGCTGTTTTATTAATAAAGAGATCAATGCTTTTTGTGATAGAATTAATTTTTATTTAACAATTCCCTGACAATGTTTTGCTGATATATTTGCTTTTATCAAATCACACTTTATCGTTATCAATATATTATTGTCATACAAAGATAAAGGCTAGTGCGCACATACCCATTCGTCCTCAAAAAATTGAATAAATTAAAAAATTTATTCCATAAATTTTTACAACTGTACACTTTTAAAAAACGTTTTTAAATCCTATTTTTATTATTTTATCAACAGGTAGCAACACCTAATGGTCAGCAGATACAACAACTTCAAGTGTTGCCAATGTCAAGTTTACAAGGTATTTATATCACTAGCTTAAACGGTAACAGCGCGTTGTACACCCGTTGACGACGCGTGGTTGTTCCGGCGGTGCGTTTGCAATGTTTATTGTGGATTTGCAGGTGCAGGTAACAATCTGCAGCCAATGCAGTTGGTGCAGACGGCGGACGGTCAGACTTTCATTTACCAGCCGGCCAGTGCACCACAGCCTGCTATCGACCAGCACCAAATTATACACCAACCGGGTAAACATATCAACTAAAATTATACCAATATATAAATATGTTAGGTTATCAGTAAATTTACTACATATTATTGTCATTTTCATTTGGCATTGGCCTTCTTATCTTTGTATGATTGAACAACTGAAGCGATGTCCAGTAATTTTATAGAAATTGCGAGATAGGATACTTATTTTTTTATCAAAAGGTAACATGACTTCTATAAATATACGAATTTTAGCGTTATTTATTTTAACATTAATATAACAATTGAGGAGGCATTTTACATAGGAAAAGTATGTTTGATTATTATTTCACGGGATATAGATAAATGAACTAAATAAATAATTGTGTTGCAGTGATAAATCTGAACGGCAACCTGGTGCAGCTGGCGGGGCTGGGCGGCGCAGTGCCGCAGCAGCAGCTGCTCAACCAGTCCAACATCGTCATGGTGAGATCACCCCTACTTTGAACTTTTTTTTTCGTCTGTTATTTGCTAGTTACTTTGTACATCTCAGCTTGAACCTTTCTAATTGATCTATAGATAGACCCATGGGCGTGGGCGGAGACAAAGAGTAGTGGACCCTCCCCTAGAAAATCGATTATTGAGATTACAATTCCTATAAATCCACATTGATGACTCGATGTATACTTGTTAGTTTTTTCCATTATCGAGCCTATAAACACTACCTTTGGAATAAATCAAGATTTTTTTCTCTCCTAGATCTAGCCTTGGTCATAAGCTGGCGAATTTCTAAACCATTTATATTAGAAAAGTGGTAATAAATAGGCCTGTGTACAGATGGTGAACGGTTCTGGTAACGGTACTTCGAGCGGGGCAGATTCGTGCGGGGGCGCGGGCTCAGACGAGGAGCCGCTGCTGTATGTGAACGCGCGTCAGTACCAGCGCATACTGAAGCGCCGCGCCGCACGCGCACGTCTGCACGACCTCGGCAAGATACCTAAAGAACGCCCGGTAATATAACACTAGTCATGTATGAAGCAGACAGCAGCGACAAAAGCACGCTATCTACATGTGGCCCCCTCTTTGAGGTTTCCCCTTAGTTTGTTTGTAAATGTGCGTTGACCTTTAAGTTCTCTATGTGTTCTTTCGATGCATCAGTGACTCACTGTGTCCATCATCGCATAGTGATTATCGTTATCTACTTTATGATGATAATTTTAACGATATCTAAGTAAATATATTTATCAATATTCCAGAAATACCTGCACGAATCTCGGCACCGACACGCCATGAACAGAATACGAGGGGAAGGTGGACGCTTCCACTCGGGCAGCAGGAAGTTAGTACAAACTATATTCTATATAAAATTTTCAAGCGTAAATTTATTAAAAATATATCTGTACGCTATATTTTAAACAATACTTTCTAAGATCTGAATATGGTCCTCGGTTGCCTCTGGCTGACCTCTGGCTTATAACTTACAGGAACCGCGCTGCGAATGCTGAACAAGGCGCGGTAGACCCTCACAAACTGCTGGAGGACATCAAGCCTGAGACTGTCTCCATTACTATCATTCAGGTCAGTAAGCTTTCCTTTCTCTGTCTACCCCTTTTATAGAATTCAAACCGTCCTATTGAATCTACCTTTACCTTGTATTTCTTAATAAATATTAAAAGTTTTCCCGAGACATTTCCATAAGTACATTAACAGATCCTGTTTTCATTATTTTAAAGTGTACTTTACTTTTTTAGTATTTATAATTTACTAAACAATTTATGGTGCTTGCAGGAAGAAGAAACACAAGACCACCAGCCGACACAATGGAGGAGGCTCGCTCCACAGCCCATGCCCTCCACGTAGCATATCAGTGTTAAAGTGGAACAAAATGAGTCCACTTAGTGTGAAATAAGTGTGAACCTCTCTACTCAGTGTAGACTTGTGCAAATAGTGTGAACTTCACTAAATGTGGGCCTGTGGACTTAGTGTGAACCTGTGCACTTTTTGTCTACTAGAGTGATAGCCTATAATCTTTGGTGACAGCTTATGTATAAACGATAGTACGGGACTAATGGAGTGTGCAAATTAGTAAACGTTATTTTCACATAACTATGAAATTCCAATGTCAAAAGACTTGTATACAAACTTATTAACATCATTTTATTTAAAAAAAAGGGAGTTACATGTTCTAATATAAGTATTATATCAGTGGAATTTCATGGTTTTGTGGATATGTGATTGTGTAAGTGAATGGATTTCAGTACCAAATCAATTCCTCCAATATGGTAAGTTTGTCTTTCAATTCTTTATGATATTTAAATATTAAGTTATTTACTTTTTGAAGGGTAAATAAGATGTAAAAATTCATTTTAAAGTGTTATCTTTTATAACTCCGGTAATTTTGTTATTCAATTGGGAATACTTCAATGTATACTCTATGCAAATTATATCAATCCATTTTATTCAAAAAATACCATAAAACTATTTGCTACCAATGCAACTTTAATTTTCATAAAAGTGTTTGAAAATAAAATGTTAATGTAGAAAAATTCTAATATAATGTGTTATGGTAATAGTATGTGTTATATAAGAAGTATGAAGGATAATATTAATTTATAATACTTTGGCTTCATCATTTAAAATAAGGCCAAAATGTTAGAAAGTGTTTGATAGTTTTTAAGTTTTTAATATGAGTGTAAGGAATAAGTATTTATGTTATTTATTGTTACTGGAATGTTTTAAATGGAAATTTTGATTTAACAATAACCATAAGTAATTTTGTCATTTTATATTATTCAAATGTTTGTCGCAGAAAATAAGTTTTAAGATATATTGACAGTCTCACTGAAAGACATTAAATGATTAATTAAGCAATCATTTAGTGTAGATTTTTCACAATGAAACTTCACTAAAGGACTTTGTTAATGACTCCGCAGACTTTGAGTGCGGCATACAAACTTTACCCATACAGAGACAACAAATCTGGTTTTTGGTAGATGGGAACTTCATAATTCAGAAGAAAATGTTTGTGTACAAGTTTTCAAATATCTTGGCGGCTCAGAACATCACATGAGTTTTTGCACAGAACACAATGTTACAGTTAGAGGTGTACAGAGATGTGAGGGCACTGCGGCAGCTCTGATAAGATATTTGAAAAGACATATATTTGGTGTTCTGTTATGATTGTTTTATTTTTTATCATTGCAATTATGAGGGTTAATGGATTATTATTATGAAAAAGATGCAGTTTCCAATGTTTCTGTACATATGTAAATATAAAAGATTTTATCATATTTCTAATCAGTTAGATGTAAACATTTTATACATTAAAAAGTACAAAATAAAGAACTGCACAAAACTATCTGGTTTTATTTCTATTTATGAGATTCACTTTATTTGACAAATTCAATCTAAAATTAAAGTTTGTTAATAATTCTTAATACAACTCTTATAAACTATTACAACATGATATATTTTTTATAAATAATTAAAAACGAAACACACAACAATAAAAATAATATCAAAACATGTGAGTTCAACATGATTTTTTATTTTTGCATTTTAGAAACATCCACATAAAATCAAGTTTTGATCTCAGTTATTCCGAGGTATAATTTTATGTGAATGTTTTTCCAGTACAAACTAACAGTAAAAAAGCAAAAAAGTATGATAACATAATAAATATAATAAAGTAAATGTTTTTTTTTCAATTTGAAGATTTTGTCCAATTATTGATTTTTTTTTTGATTATATTTTGTAATTTTACATCGAAGTGATTCTTTGTGAAAATGAGTTGTGTAAAATCTGATTATTACAATAATCTTTGGCAATTAATCAATAGATTCTACATCTTAATTACTACTAAAAAAAACTGATAGCACAAGGTATCTAGTTATTTTATCAAGTTTCCATTGCCGCAATACTCATACAATACAAAAACATATTTTTGATGATTTTACATTAATTTTTGACAATAGGAGTTGTTTGTTGGATAAACTAAGCCTAAGTTTTGTTACTAGTGTTGTCCCGGACGCGTTTTATTTCATCTTTGATGGCAGATATAAGTGGCAGCGCTGGATCGTCGGCTGGCAAACGACCTTCCGCTAGGATGATGTTCGGGTTGACCGTTGGTACGCGAGATGTTAACGACTATCGTGAAATGAATGTTTTAAATTAAAAATAGTTTGACTATTCATATTTCTTATATTAAAGCTGTATTTTTTATTAAACTTTGTGTATAAATGTATATTAATTGTTTGTTACCTGCGGGGGCGTGTGCCCCCAGGCGCGTGAAGGCGGCGCGCGGGGCTCCCCCACACGCGTGAATGAGGTGCGCGGCCGCGGCGTTTCGCCCCCACTGGGTCCTGCACGTCCCCGTCTGCAGGCAACGTTACATATTACTATGACTTATGTATTTCTTATCAATCTAACTTCGTTTCAGTTTCAAAGTATGGTATGGGTCTTTATAAAAGTGCGCTTTTAATTACCCTGTGCCAGCTGAACGGCCCCGTGTGGTGTCTGCTGTGGCAAGTCGTACATTGTCATTGCGAGCTTGTGTCACGCCCAACTCTGTAAGTCAGCGATATTAGTACAGACAATAGATTAAAAAAACAGCTGTTTACATTCACTTTGTATGGAATTGACGTATAGACGCTGTGTGCTAAACGAGTAAGTGGGAGCAACAAATTATTAAAAACTATTAGGAACAATATCAGACTCGCTTCAACGCCCTACCTGCGAACACCGTGATGTTGCGCCATCGTAAATGGAGTGAGGCTTTATTTTTTTATTTAACATGAAATAAAACAGATATCTTGGTAACACTAACCAGTGTCCTCTCTTCTATCATCTCTATCCAGTGTGTATGTGTCGTGAGAGGCGCTGGACGCGCTGCCGAACAATGTGAACGCGTCGTCCACCAGCTCATTGAAGCGCTGCCGCATGCGCGACGGACCACCCGCGACATCTTGAGAGACTTGTCTTACTGGACTCTTTGATTTTGATGCTGGAAATTTTATTTTAAAATAGATATTGTATAATTTTACTATACAGATGGATACAAATTAAAATTAGTTATCCGTTAATTGACATTTAATACAATTATTGAGTCAAAACACTTCAATAAATCAAAAATTATTATCTTCCTACTGTTCACAACAAACCTTTAATCTCACCACTCTTGACCCTCTGACAGTGCAGGTCCCAGACCAGAGGTCCAATGACCCCAGGGTCCTTATCAATGCTGCCGAGGCGTACAAGCTGCGAGGTCATCTGACGGCGTGGCTGACTCGAGGGTTTGGGCGGTGGACTGTCCATGTCCAAGTGACGGACTGACACCGGCTCCAGGATACGAGATAGAGGCTCCACTGTGTTACCTCTGGACAATTGGATGTGAGTTTGTAGTGATATTTATGTTGTTTGTTTGACGTGAGTAATCTTGACCAATCGTCCAGTAATTTAGGCTTAGAGAAACCTACTAAGGAAGACAACTTGATGATTCTGAAGTAGGAGGCAAATTAGTTTCATTCACTGTTAAAAAACAAATGTTACTATTCTCCTTAGTATACCAACCTGGGAAATGCAGCGATAGAAGGCATTGAGAGATATGAGGTGGGGGTGTGCGGCGCTGTGGGGGGCGCGCTGTCCGAGCTGTCCAGACCAGCTGACACCAACAGGCTGTCCGTAGTCCCCACTGACACATACATCATACATATATCAGCCTGTAATTTTCCCATACAGAGAGACCACACAGTATGCTGCCATACAAATATTAGCTGTCGTAATGAGTTCACTTCCTTCTTACCCATATGCGTCCTATAAATCCAAATGTTTAGATGGATAGATGGATGGATGGATGGATGATGTTACAAGGTATCTCCAGTACAGCTAAACGTATTAACAAGACAACTGTAACACTGAAATTTTGCATAGATGTATAAGTTAGTCTGGAAGTTAGTAAAAAAATTATTTACAAAGAGTAATCCCTTGTTTCCCCATAATTCTCCTATACTCTGAACTATTTATACCTCTCTTTTTATGCGGCATTTTGAGCGCGTGCGGTTTCTTCTGTCTGCGACGGAGAGCGGCTGCCACTTCTGACACACCGGATGACGTAGTGGATGAACTGATGCATAACACATTATATAGATATAATATGACATATATTATAGTTTATTAATAATTTCACAGCGAGAAGTCAGACAGACCGTGCTAAACGAAAAATGGACCATTTTTTTTTAATTTTCGGGATCTAGTCTAATTCTGTCTTATAAATGGATAAGTCTGTGGTGATAAACTTTTTTTTTATTAATGTAAATGTGTGTACAAATAAATGAATAAAGATCATTTATTTAGGCAACAAAAGTATGGTTAAATTAAAAAGAAGGAGTTTGGTTTCCAAACTAGGTTCTAGACTCGTATTTTAGAAGCCAGGATGTCAGCCAGGGTGTCTTTTGTCTTAGTGCTAAGTTACGTAACGTAACGTAGATTAGTAACATTATAAAAAGTAGTTAATTTTATTATATTTACCCCGAAGCACTACCCGCTCTGTAGACCGGCAGTAACGTGCTGCTAGGTCTTGTTCTACTCGGAGATACCACGCTTATAAGCTGCAAGTAAAAGAACAATTAGCATTTCTGAACATTAAACTTTTATGACAATAATATCTGTAAGAGACCTTCCCATCCCGTTCTTCATGCACTTGCTTCATCTGACTGCGTTCTACTTCCCTCATCAGCTCGTTGCGGTATGCTCGAAATGATGCTGCTGATTTCTTTGTCTTACGTCTAGAAATATAGTCATATTAAAAATTATTGTATCTGTTTGTACACGTTTGATTTTAAAGGTATTAAGCGCATTTCACAACAAGTGATACTTCTTAATAGATCGATTGTTGGAAGACAATATGTTTACCATATCCATCTATTACCAAACCAAATGTTTAAAAGCTGACTGTGAATTCACGCCAATAATTCACCTGTAAATTTCTAGCAATGATTTCCTTACAGCTTTAATTTATGAATTGTATTAAAATAGATACCAGTTTACCTGTGAGCAAAACACAGCAGAACGAGCAGCACCAATAGGATGAGCACCGCGACACTGGCGCCGACTGCCATCGCCCACAACTCCACGCCGTGCACTCCTTCCTCCGCACCCTCCAGCCCCTCCGCCGCCTTCAGGTACGCTGCTAAATACCACCAGTACACAACACATGCTACCACAATACATAGTGGTGCATTTAACCATGTCAAAGACCGGCAACCCATCTGCGGTTCCTCTGATATTGCAGATGTCCATGGGCGTCGATGAACACCTCGGTGTTCCCGCTGCTCGTTTGCCCCATACCCTTATAAAAAAGGCCGACAGTAAGAAATACTCACGCTCCGCTTTAGTAGTGACAGCGGCACCAAGCTCGCTGGCCACCTCTGCATCTCTGACAAGGCGCATGTCGCGCGCGGCTACCGCGGCAGGAACCGCACGTCCGCCCACCAGCACCACATATACTATCTGCACGCTACCCGTCTCTGATGACTGTTGTATGTGCACATGAGAGGGAAATAGACAAGTTAATTCTGTCACCTCAATACAATAATAAACAACAAAATGTCCAATTTTACCTCAGTTATATTTTGTATATGAACACGAACTGGTGGTTGTTGCTCAGGTTTTAGTATCTCTCTTTTAAATAACGTTGTTTCATTGTTTTCCTCTTCTAAAGGTATATCGATAAGATCTGGAACATTCTGTGTTTCAGCTTTTGATATTTCTCTCTTTTTTAAAATTACTGTAGGTGTTACCAGTACCCATAATTCTGATTCACTCAACTTTGTAGGCTTAATTACTTTTTCAGGTACTAATGATTTGTTGATTGCTTCTAAATTTTCTGGATTTACACGACTAAAAGTATTCGAAGTATTAGAAGATGTACGTTCAGTTATAGTTGTGATCGTGTTCAATACAAAATCATTGATGTTGATCACAGAACTATGAACATCTAAATATTTTACTGGTTCAGAACTATTGGCAGATAGATTCAAATTAATTTCTTTATTAACAACAAAAGAATGAACATCGTGTTTCTTTCTCGGTGTAGGAGCATCAAGGGATTTTATAATTCCGAGATGTCTTTCTTGCTGCCTGGAAAAAAAAATAAAAATAGGATGTGAATAAACAAATTCGGTTATGACTGTTTAAACCGCTAGACTAAAAGACGTTAGTCTATCCTAAGGGAGGAGATTTATCTTATTAAATCTTCACAATGAGGGATCACTTTACGAATTTGAGTGTGGGCAGTTAGGTTCTCACCTTAAGAACGCTTTCTGATACAATCTTGCTAGTCTGAGTTGTAGACTGTCTGGAGTAGAACCTTGTATGACTGTCAGCAGCCAGTAGCGACGGTCTTCGGGTATTTCGGGCTCCAAGCTGTCAGGCACGCTTATTTCTCCGCAGTTCAATATGCAGTCACCGGTCGTTTTATCTGTCACCGCCTGGAATGGATTAGACAGTATTGAGTCTCACTAAATATGTTCGTATGTGTTCCAGACTGATGATGGTCTGTTATTTATGAGAGTTCAAAGAGATGGTGTTTTTCTTACTTTTTATTCTTTTTAAATCTCTTTTTGAAACTAATTTACTTGTTAATAATACAACCTGTGGTGGATAGGAATCCAAGTATACAGTAGCCAGCACAGTAGTGGTGCGTACGATAGGTGTGGAGGGCGAAGGTGCCGGTACTGCGCTGTCGGGAGGTGGAGGCCCATCGCCGGAGCCCGTCCAGAAGAAGTCTTCAAGTCGCGGCGTCCGTAGGTGTTGGTCAGGTGATACGAACATGTACACTGGAAATATTTCCTTCATGTATAAGGTTACTACCGAAGGTGAAGACTGTTTGAATAAGGTCGAAAAAGATAATTAGAAGGGTTTACATTTTTCGGTAAATGTGTGTGGGAAAGTCACATAACAATAGATGAACCATTTCCATCATGGATTCTTTTCGTCATATTTTCTGAATTTAAGTATTTTGTCAATATCCAAGTTCTTATTAGATTTGTCAGTGATATTGTTTCGGAAGTAATTGTATGCGATACATAAATTTAGCGAATCGGGGTTGTAACTAACTATAAGCTGACAGGACGACAATCGACAAACATTTTAGGGCGGGCATCGCGTGATCTCCGGAATAAGCGTGATTTAGAGTTTATTGGCCCCCCTGTAAGCTGTCTTTAACTATACTTCAGGAGATTGGTGCAAGTTGGATTAAGAAGTTGATAAGAATTATCTTGACTTGTTCCTGTATTGTGTTCAGCATTGGAAAACCAAGATGACAGTTAAAGACCAGCATCGATTTTGATCTTCAGTTTGTTAAGCGATTTTTTTAATGACATTCTTACAAGAATCTTTATATTTTCTATCATACGTCTTGCAACGACACTACAAAATCGCTTTCCGCTTGTGATTTAGAGTGTACGAAGAAATATTCCTGGTGCCACCCTGTACCTAGCACCAGGTCAGATACAAAGGAAACGCACTGCCGCTTATCTAACTATAGTTAGCAATATAAACTACGAATGTAAGGAATTATGTTTTTGTTTACTGAACAGATGCATCACCTCACCTGTAAAGCTATACTGAAGTGATTTAACTTTTGGTATCTTAATAAAATTAAATAGTGAGTTTTCACTGCCAAAACACGTGAAGGAAAAAATATTGTAATTTTTGTTTTTGTACAAGTGTTGCAGTAGTAAAAAACCATAGATTCAGATTCAAATAACATCATAAATTTCTTAATTACATAGTTTGGTCATTTCGTAATATTCATATGGTCTTTACGATCTATGAACGTCTTGGTTTTACTTAGTAAAAACAGATAAAAAGTGATATACAAAATTAAAATGTCAAAATACAACAATAGAAATGTTTTGAGGTAGATGTGATTATCTGAAGCCAATTTGACACAGTTTAAATAATCCATTAAACGACAGGTTTCCGTTTGTAGGTCGCTGTTAGAGCACGCATCCTGTCCGAAACCAGGTTTCGAATTGTACAATTGAATAAAAAGCCATATAAAAGCGATGTAATTCAACTGCGTATAGGGTTCACACATTTTAGACTACGAAAGTATTTATGCCTGGTCAAAAATATGCACATTTTTATGAAATTTTAATAGAAAAATATGGCTCAGGAGAGGAATAAAAAAGCAAGTAACATTATTTCTGTACAGGTATTTCGGTAGTGGAAAGCCACGATGGGCTAATAGTATATTTATAATCACGTCTCTAATCTTTATGCTTTAAGAACAAAGTATCTTTGAATTTCGTATTTATCGGAGTGACAGCCCTAAAATTATGAGTTTATACAGTCGCCATCTTGTTAAATGCGTGGTGGTCAACGGATGTGGAATGGACATTGTAAACAGCGCGGGCGCCTTCAACCGTGACGTCTCGCCTTTAAATTTGGAATGTACTGCATAAATTATGAACGGGAACGATTTATTAAAAAAAAAGCATTATGAAATCATTGATATTTTTTTAATTTACATTCAAATAACCGTACCAAAAAACACCGTTTAAGCCAAAAACCGTAATATACTGTTTATTAGATTGGGGAAAGAAATATTTTATTTTAGGTAGCTGGCTGTTGTGATCGATATATCGTAAAGTCTCATACACATTTAAAAAAAATACTTGTTCGTTATTTGGTCCTTTAAGTTGTGAGTTACAGGGTGTTAGAAATAGATGTCATCAAAGTAATTCCGCTTAGTTTTACAATATTTTTGAGGTGAAAATCCGATTCAGGTGGCTGAAAAAGTAAGTAGTGTTTACGGCCCCAAAACTTCAAATGCTCGTTCCAAAAAAATTTGGTTACGTCTTTTCATGTTAAAAATTTAGCTTGCTTAGGCTGAATATCAATAACGTAAAATCACAGGTATAATGGGGATTGGCTTATATTTAAGCTTTAATTAGATTAGATTTATACTATAAATATTAATTATATTTTGCTATAACAAAAATATGACAATATTAATTAAAACTAATATATAATAAAACGTATTTAAAATAAAAATTCATTGCTATAAAGAGTAATTTTAATATATAGTTATCAATAAGTTTTACGAATATTGTTATTTTATTCGACACAAAATGGTAGGAAATATACATTTTTGCTATCTACAGTTTTAACGTATTTCATTTATTTGATAACCAATTAGCAAATATTAAAAAAAAAGTACTTACTGTCATCATCGCTGTCGAATTCCTTCGCAAATACACTGTACGATGTAAAAAATACATCTAATATAAGTATATTTATAACTATCATAGTGACTATTTACATTCCCTTTTGATAAACAATGCTAATTATTAACGACAATGAAAGTTTGTCGTTAGAAATAATTAATACAAACATAATCTAATGTATATTTTCTCCAATTCTAATAAATAAATCATGTAAAAAAACAGCATCAAACACAATACTTTATTCTATTGAAAAAGCAACCGTCTATAAATATCGTCAGATTGCCACTGCGCTTTTTGGATTATTACCGCGTTGCGTAGCAACTAACATCATAATTGAATCACCCGCGCTCTTAACAACTGTACCTTTTGACAACTAACTTCATTAAACTTATGCGAAGTTGATTTCTCGAAGTTGACTCATTTTCATTACCTGAAAGTCATTTCATAATAAAAATAAGTCAAATAACTCAATTCTATTTTTTTTTAATTCTTTGTTAAATTATTTGTATGTATATATAATTAAAAACATTTGAGGATTTCACCATAAATTCATTTGTGTCTCTGGTACACACAACTTGAACTTACATTTTGCCTAAAATATGGATTATTATTGCAGATTTTTTATTTCCTAGAATTCATAATAAAGTTATGCTTGTTTTGTTTTGTTATCCATTATTTTAAGTAAATCCACTCGTATATTGCCATGACTAAAATTTATTTAACATGTGGTAGAAATTTATTTGTTTGATATGGTAACACTTTCTTCACCGTCCATTTTTCGTATTTTGCAGCTGTATTCACTTGAGTTCGTCGCTTTCGTTCGACGGATAGCGCGACGTGGACGGGTGTGTGCGAAAGTATGAAGTGAAATCGTACTAATAGTGTGTGAAATGTTTAGTGTTAGTTTTTACTGTGTTTGAAGACAAAATGAGTGCGAACGGATAACCTAACTAACCTTTTTTTCAATCCTTGAAACTTTACACGTTCGTGTCACACGTAACATTTTATATGAACGGTTTCAAAATGGCTGTGTTTTGAAGGACCCTTTGTCCGCTTTCGTGTGTTTCTCCAGCATGGTAGTGGCATTATACGAACACAAATTTGTCTTCAGAAGGTAAGAAAGTTTCTTAATTATGATACCGCCTACATTCTAAAATCACCCAGTGGAAAATTACTGGTTAAAACTGAACCGAACTGTCGCCTACCTTTCTATGCCAGCAATATCGGACGCTTGCTCGCTACGTGTTAGTTTCTATTAGCAGTTTTTACCTCTTTTGTTGAAGAGTAGACTAGCTTGTGTCGTGTTATAGTTGAAAATTCCATGCGCTATAAAATCTTAAACATCCGTTGTACATATTTTAACGGCTTCATATAAGACAAGAGTATGTTTACTTCGCCGTATGTTTTCCATAACAAATTCGCTTATTGGAATCCACTACGTTACTCATATGTTTGCATTAAATGTATCGTGTTATAAAAATTCCATATTTCCTAGAAATAATTTATTAAATGATATATCGCTACTAAAATATTGACTATAAATTTGTACTTTAGTTTTTACTTATAAATTTAACTTTAATCTTCCCATATCTGTAGTTAAAATATTTTTATTTGACCTGTTTTTTTTAATTACGTTAATAACGAATATTAAATTAAGATATTCTGTTTATAATTTCATTTCTAACTGTGGGTTTACACTGTTTATACACTTATGTAAAATACATTGTCATCTCTCATATTCATATAAAAAACAGACATAAAATTATGTTTTAATACAAGCAGATTAGCAATGAAAATTCTCAGTTATTCAATGTTTTCTCAACAGTAAAATTGTTATTAGACCATCAAGTTTTTTTTTTAAGTTTTGTTAGTATTTGAAGTAATATTAAGAGTGTTAAGACCTATCCAAAAAAAAAATAAGAGGGAACAGAAAATAAACATTGCAACCATATGTTATTTATGCCTGCTTCAATGTCAAATCTTAATTACACAGTTTGATAAATTTTAACACTTTCAGTGTTGCTGATTCTGCTACCGGGACCAATGCATAAATAATAGTGGCATGGAATGTATTAAAGAATTGGGAGTTATTTTATTACTTATCCTGAGTGTCAGATATTTTGATAATGTGATGAATGATGTGATTGTAGTACTGTTATTTTAGTTTAATTTATACCATAGATCTTTTAGTTCAATAGGTGAAATATGTAATAGAAAGTTCTGTCTGAATGGACCTATGAAGTGCAACATCATCATGAACCTGCCCTTATCCCCGCAAAGGGTTGGCACATTGAAACAATGATGCTTTACAAATCTCATTTAATTTTATTAAGGTCAATTTAAATTATTTTTGGTATTAATGTTTGGTTAAATATAGTTAAAACGTTTTTCCTGTGTCATTAATTTAGAATTATTGAACTTTTTACTTTAGATTTATTTGTTATATTTCCAAATTAATAAATAACTTAAAACTGGACTTGAAAACAATTCAGGTTATAGGATTTTATAACAAAGGTCATTCAAATAAAATGCAGCTCTAAAGGTGAAATGGCGCCGGCGCCGTTCCCTGGTTGAATTGCGGACAAACGTGATAGGGTGACCATATTACATAACATAATAAAATAATCTACCATTTCTTTGAATATTATTTAAATATTATTATCATTATTATTTATATGCTCACAATAACTGAAAACTGACGACCGCAATATAAATAATTTACTGTTAAACTAGCCTATTACAAAAAAAAAATGCCTATTCATTAATATCTAGTCAACCTAGATCCACCTTGACAACAAGATTCGCGCCTCGTAACGGGCACAAGTATCACCGTGACCCAAGAATACGCACACAAACGATGCTAGTTTAATATTTATTTTCGCCATATATAATATATTTATATTTTGCAAGGTTCGTTCAAATTATATTCTATGGCCTATACAACTTTGATACAAGTAAAATGATGCTGGCTTAAAAAGCATATCCGGACGTAATCGTTACCAGCTTTCTTCTTTAGCCGTTCTTTTATCAAATTACAAAAAGTATAGCATTTTTAAGTAATTGCTGCCAATAGGTTACCTAATCATATGGCCATAAAATGGTTTCGAATATTTGCGCAAGCTCTTGATGTAAGAATGCTCTTGTTTCACGTTTTTTTTATTGAATTTTATTTTGTAATTTGTTTGTTCTTAGTTTATGAAGAATGTTAAATACGTCAATATTCTGTATATAGTGATGAGAAAAGCAAAAAGTTTACTTCAAATATTTTAGTGCATTCGATTTATCTATGGTTTCTGAAACCCTTCGAACTTGTAAAAGGAGTTTGGTGATGTACCCAGTTAAATTAACATTTAATGTCCAATGCCTAGTTAGGCGCAGGATGTGCTCTATTAATTCTCTCTTCAATTACTGGTTCATTCATTGTCTGGTTTAAGAAATATGCCTATGCGTTCATAGTTGCCTAAACAGTAGTGCCTTTATAAAACCAAATTTTATCCACAGTTTGATACGAATTACTTTTACTTTTATACGATAGTTTTAGAAAGTTTTGCCATATTTTTAAATGTGCGTTCTACTGTAACTCGATGTATTGGCGTTTATATTTTTACTTCCGCTATTTTTTGCATTTGTAGTAAAAACATGAATACCCAAAGTTCGATTTGAGTGTTCAGTTAATTTAATAGTTAGTTTGACGAGGTGTTTTTATGACGAACATTAAACGTACGCCATCAATATTTTTATGAGTACGGATTGAATTTGATCACTTTTAATATAGCTTCGGTTTACCTTGAATGATTTATTTCAACGAAAATGCCTTGCTAAAATCAGTCATATCAAGTCTAAAAAAATTAAGATTGTAACATGTTTTTGTGTGAATGTTTTAGCAGTAAGAACTAAAAGACTACAGCTACTATAGTTAATTAAATTTATTCGTTATCATTACAGGACATAGTTTTTTTATGACTCATCATAATGAACTTTTATTAATTACTAGTTGTAGTCGTTATTTTTATTATCGCAATCTAGATAGGTAAAGTTATTAAGAACAATGATTTAACAAGGTCTTATATTGTTAAATAATTAAAGAATATCTTAATCAATACATTGATTTTTTTTTTTTTTATGGCAATATTTTCGAGAAACTAAGTAAAAGATGGTTTTTTTTAAAATAATAGTTGTTTGTTAAAAAAATATGAACAGGTATAACTATGTTTTGCTGCCTGTTTGATATATTTATGTGATATATAGCGGTGTTCCCGCTGCTCGTTTGCCCCCTTCTGTTAAAAAAAAAAAAATTATGTGACAGTTGTATTTTATTAAAGTCTGTGATGTTGAACAGTGACTTAATTATTTAAAGTAAATATTAAATACATCTTTAGTAGCGTTTCAATAATAGAGAAATATACTTTTATATAATTTTGTGTTCAAAGTGAATAATGCAGGAAACTAATGTAATCCTAATTAAGCAAGAAGTATTTTTAAAATACGCGGTTATGTCCTTATTTATGCGTAGATATTATTATATAAAATATGGATACATTAATATTGTTATTCCCTAATTAGGCGTTATTTATTTTCCTCCAGTTCAACCTCATATTACAAAAAAATATTTGTGATAAAAAAATTCAGGTCTCGGATTTACTAAAATACGACTGGAATGTAAAGCAAAAGATTTCGTGAGAACTTTTTTCCAAAAAAAAATGCTTATTAGTAATGCGTGCGAATCGTGAGTTTATTCAAAGTTTTTGGTTTATTCAAAGTTGATGCTAGTAAGCTTTTAAGGGAATATGGAATGTATAGTTTTGTAGTTTAACAAGCGAAAGCCCGGGTACCGCTCGAGCTCACTTCAAACTGTTTGAGGGTAGGCAGCCGTTTGCATAGCGAAGGGAAAGTTGGTTAGAGTAGGTACTCTATTTAATTGCGCCCTTTTCACCTTGTATAAATTATACAAGAACTAAATTAACGAGCCGTTTAATCTATGAGTATCTACGGGGAGTTGATAATTTTAAGTTTACATTTTTTTATTTAATTTTGTATTGTAAGTTTTGGTGGTATGCTACGGCTGACGGTGATACCTCGCCGACGCTTTAGAGACCACGCGTTTTCTCGTGCATGCGACAAAAACATAATGTTTTGCTAACAAATTTATATATTAATCTCGCACCATCGGTGGCGACAAGTGGATGCCGCAATGATCGCGAGAGATTTTTTTAAATATGAGTAGATTCCATAAATCGCCTTTAATTCACTACTATAAAGCCTTTCGCTGGTTTATATAAAAAGCGATGTACAT